TTAAAATTAATTATAATCAACTTTGTGTACCGTAAACTTTGTAGACAGTTTGTGTTATGTTAAAAAAACTTACTAAAAGTTATTGGTTTTAGTTTAGCATGTACCCACTAATGCTTATAAGTGAACAATAAATTATAATAGTTATGATTTATTGTTCTATTTTTTGTAACTATAAAGGTTATATATATTGTATTCTCTAAGGTCTAAACATTATTTATGATCATAACTACCCAACCTATATAAATACGCAAAAAAGTATCAACCTAAAAATAAAAACCTTGATTTTTTCAGAAAATCCTTATAAGGCATAATTGCAAAGATTTTATCTAGCAACTTGATTGGTTTTTGCATATTACTTTTCGGCTGTGGCTTGTTACCCAGAGAAATCGTGGCCTTTCATGACCTGAAAGATGCTCTTCTAAGGTTAAAGGAGGTCAATACTTCAATAGACTACTTCGATGTAATGGGGTACGTCTACTTTTTGACCACGTTGCCAATAATACTTAAACTTACTTGCAAGAACTTTAGAGGCACTTTGGAATGAATGGCAACATGCAAATCTGGAAATTGTTATATAGTTTGGTGAATTAGAACTTCAAGGAGCTTAAGAAACACTTTTTATTTTATTTTTTGAATGAGCACGACATACATAGTAAGATTCCTATCTTTAATCACACTTTGAAGTATCGTATTTTCTTTTCATTTTTCTCTCATATGAACTACATTTTTCCATTAATATTTCTTTTGTGGGCATTGTCGAGACCGTTACAGCTTACTGTTTAGTTCTTTTTTTCGAGGTAAAATTCTAAAACCGTTGAATTTAAAACTGGTCTTCTGGCCTCCATTGAAAAATATTGTGTTACATTAATATTTCAGTAAAATGGAGTTACCTATGTACATTGCCAGTTATAAGGAAAATACAGTTAAACTAAACACACATTAAATTTTCAAAACTCAAATAAAGAAAACACAGAGGTAACTAAAAAATATTCAGTAAAAAAAAATGTTAACATTTTCATTTTTTCACTGATTGTTTTAACTATAGGTAAACGAAATCTTCCCACAAAAACATATTTTTTTCAAGAAACCATTAATCAGTTTAGAAACAATTAGGCTGACAAAAAGCGAACATGTCCGTCTGTCTGAACTGCGACAATTAAAAAACAATTTGGGGCTGTGTTCTTATTTATATTTATTGGCGTGGTACAACTGCGCGGACATGGTCAATTTAATTTAAAACAATAACGCTAATTACATGCGGCCAGATCCTCATGATAACATCAGACTAGACTTATGTGCCATGGCTTGAGCCCTTTTTAATAGGCAACATCGCAACGTTTATGTTACTGTCTGCATGCAGTTACCTACTTAAGTGGAGTGGAATGCTATAGGAGGGTCTCTTCTATGGTCTAAATTAACTAAAGTTTAGTTTTGCAAATATGAAAATGTTAAAAAAATCATATTATTTAAATTTGACTATAATAGACAAGGTCTAGAACCATTTGAAAAATTATTATCAACAAGAAACAATATTTTAGCATAACAGAGTATTTATTGCTTAAAGAAAAAAGCTCTTAGTGGAAGTTCTCTTGAAAACAAATACAAAATCTCTTATATTTACTCAATTCATTCAAGATACATCACAATTATCCCAATAGCTTGTCAATTTTACAACAAAATCTGGTAGCTCTCATTGCAACTTGCAATTCGCCATTTTCTAGGGGCAGTGATATAATATTATAATTCTATTATAGGTATTTCTAATATACATTTTACCGGTTGTGTTGTGTTGTGGCGTGTTGTATGTACTATGCTCCACACCTCAAAGTCCCACCACGTGACCACGTACGGAACGCAGTCTTTTGAAAATTTGGCATTTAAGGCTTTTCAGGTTATGTATCTGTCAAAGTATAGTCAATGAAATAAATAATATTTATAGTGGTACCGCTTATGTTTAAGCGTTAAAAGTTAATAAATCTTTATAGTATCACAATAACAATGGTTGGTTTAAGAATTTAGGAATATAATTAGAAGCATAGTACTTTCACAGTGGAGTTGGAATCATTAAAACTCTTTATATTTTGAAAAAGTTTATGAACATTTTTTTAAACACTTTTTAATTTTATTAAAACCCCATTAAAAAGTCTACACATTATTAAAAAGTTAAAGGTAGCAAAGGTAATACAAACTATAAATTTTTCACATTTAATAATTAATATCTCCGAAACTATTAGCCCAAAAGGTATAAATGTGCATATTGCTGAAATCACAATTTCAAAATCTATTCGAATCTCCAAAAAAAATTAGGGGGGATTTCAAAGTTAATTAATTCAAGTTTTCATCGGCAAACAGTTCAGCAGGCCTTAAATTCGAAACCACCTGTACCCCGAAAACCGCATGGTATAATTACCGAATCGTAAGTCCTCGAGCAAGTTGCAACCGACCCCTCTCGCCCTTTCCGTTCTATCGCAGCATGCCGTGCGTGGTCTTCCACGGCTGGTCGCGACCGCAACGGTGCTCCTTCCACGGCTTTGTTGATGTTGTGTGAGGCGACTCTTCGGCTCTTCGTTTTCCGAGTCGCGATGCATCGCAGTCGGCGATGATGGGGATCTCTTCGTCTTTTTGTTACGCTGCTGCAAAAGCTGAATCGCGCTGTTGCCGGCTTGTGAGATAATCCCTTGTTGAGGGATTTAGAGATTTTAATTTTAAAAATGTAGAAAATCTTAAAAATATACTAAAAGCATTACTAAAAATATTTCAATATTGTGATATATCAAATATGAGGTTATAAAATCTTGTGTATTGTAACGAACAGGTTAATAATTGGAAACAAATATTAAAACCACAAAAAACTAGCTTTGGCCAAAACACGTGATTGTCTAGTTTAAAGAAATTAAATTTTTGTTGTGAATACGGTTCTGGATACGTAAGTACTTGAGCAATTGAAAAGATATTTAAAAAGCAAAGAAAAGTATTAAATTAAGAAAAAGTTTATCAATAAAGGCAATAAATATAAATAATACAACAAAATCAAAGTAATCAATATGAATATAATCATATTGTTGAGATTATTCACCTACATAAATACTATGAAACATGGTAGCTTAGGTCACAAACAACAATAACAAAATGGCAGTGGTAAATAAAATTTATAAATAACAAGGGTACAGTAATGGACAACGGTAATGCAATTTAAATGTACAGTCATAAATATCGTAATAAAAACATGTCAGTGCAAATCAGATATAGCAAAATAACCACTTCATATCAATAACCCTAGCTAACCATTCCTTGTCAATCAAAATTGGTTAATTGGTAATTATTGGCCATTATTATCCACCGACCTTACCAGAAACCGCCAACAAAGTTCCCTAAATAAATAACTCAATTGACTCTCTAAAAATGAAAAATTCTACTATTTGAATTAGTATCAGCAGTTTTTACTAATAAAATAGTCCTTTTTACTTTTAAATAGTTATTTTTTACTACGTAAATAGTTAAAGTTTGACTAATTTATTTTCTTTTTTCTACTCCCACCTTTAAAACGCCCTTTATCGTACATGTTTCCATGACACTAAGTGACCTTTTAAATACACATTGGCAAGTTGTGGCTTTACGGCGCTTTAGTCACGGGCTGAAGTTAGCAACAGGTTTTTAGTCACGGGCTGAAGTTAGTTTTAAGTTAGTTGACCGTTGTCAAATGTCATACAATCGTTAAAATAAAGTGCCTTTCTTGTAAAATAATACTAAATGTGAAAATTATTTTATTATCTCAATACAAAAATATTAAATAGTTCTCAACGCCAATATTTGAAAAGTTTATATGAACATTGTACTGACCTTTTAATTTCGTCGGCAGTAAACTATAACTTAAATTCGGGCACGGACTCCACTGTAAAGTCCTCATAAAACATTTCCTTTACTTTCACTGTGAAAAACTGTCAATTTTCAAGATACATTTCGATTTATAACCTTTATAATTGTGTTTATAAAATGTAAAAATGTGACATTTGACAGTTTCCCCTGTTGTTTCATAGATACAAATTTTTGATTTAAATACTGAAATACCATTTTATGATACCATTGGTATCCCAAAATTTAACAGCTAATTCTTATGCAAAATTCGAAAATGTCCTCACAAGTTAAAAAAGTAGAACAGTTTTTGAGATATAGTCAATTTTCCATTTAATATGGAATTGACTATATCTCAAAAACTACTTTCTTTCATAATTTTTGAAGGTATTTTCGGATTCAGGGGACAATTTCACATAAGAAGTGGCTGTTAAATTTTGGGATACCGTGGTATTCCATGGTTAACCATGGTACAAGTAAAAAAGCAGCCACTAATAACTATTAAATTAGTCATTTTTGACTAATTCATTTTTAGAGTTAACCACTCATGATGATCTTTGCAAGCCTAGATTATAATAGTAACAATAGTTATTACACCACTATTTATAACACAAACTGATTTTATATTTAAACATTGAACTTGGTTATTTAAGAGTTAAATTCACTCCCTTACATTGTAAGGCTTACAACAATGAAAGAATTCAACTATTCTCTTTCAACGGCAAAAATTTACTGTTCTCTCTAGGTTTTCTACACCCTCTTTTTAGTGTTTATTTTTAAGACTAGGAACTGAATCAAAACTTGCTTATTTGACGAGAATCATAAATTACTACCTATAGCCAGAGACATGCCTATGCCTATAGCATAAAAAACAAAATAAAAATTATTTCGTAAAGCTTAAAAATTTAAGTAGTAATTTAAGTACCAAATGTTTTAAATTACAGTACGGAAAAACTTGGAACCCAATGTCATTAGCCAGTTTATGTTAAAATGAAATCATTGTCTCACCCAATTAACCTGAAATCTAAAAATTATTAAAATGACTTCAAAGCTTGAAGATCCTCTCGAGAACTTGGCAACCGCGCGCATCGACAGCTGCAACAACATGTGGATTCACTTGCGTGCGCGTGCGCATTCGCGAGCACGCCGCATGCTTCGGCCAGTGTCAATGGTGCGGTCGAAAAGAACGTACACGAATTCTTAAAGGTGCAGCGTCCGTAAAGCGATAGCGAACAGTGCGATCGAGAGTTGGTGTTAAAACTGCAATTACTTCGGACAACTTGTACACACAAGTAAGTTCAGTGTTTTCGGTGTTGTGTGAAAAATTGCCGTGCAGTTGTGAAAAGTTCGTTTTCTTGGAATACGAAGCCCAGGTCAGGTTTGTTGCCAGCGCGGGCTCTTTATTCCTATTATAACCTGTACCGGTTAGGACCGATCTTGCGAGATTTATTCTCAACTTTATCCAAACTTTTTAATCTGCAGTTCTTTTCTGCAGACCGAGTTTTCTTTCTTTTTCAAAGCGTTCTGCCCTTTTGGTTTTTATAGACGAGTTAGTTTTGCACTTAGAAATACTTTTTATACTATAATAACAATTAGATACCTACATGATTTATATATATCTAGAAGTTATAGTAAATACAATTATCTTTTACAATATTTTCTATATTACATACAAAATCCGTAATCAAAATATAACGAAACCCGTTGGGAGAAGATTCATAAACTATACTTTTAATTTAAGCCATATAACTTCCATGTTTTAGCTAACAAGTATGTAGGAATAAATAGTACATTGTTTGGCATTTGCAATGTATGCAACACAATTTATAAGATAATTTAAAGCAAACATGTCAGAAATTACCTTTTAAACAATATAAAAAGTATTTTTAAAACGATTTAAAACATAAAATAAATATTAATTACCTACTTAAACTGATCTCCCAGATAAATAAAAATAAATTTCTCAGTTTTATGTTTCCATGCTAGTGGGTTTTATTGTGCCCTAAGATAGGGCAGGTACTTATGGCGAGAAATCCAGGAAATAGTAATAAAAAGTTATATGAGAGCAGATATGCTTCTGCATAAAACAGATATTCTCACGTTTATCTATAAATTCCGACAATAACAAGTGGTTTATAAGTATAAATATTTGAAAAAAATGCACGTACCATACTATATAACATATACACATAGCCTTTGTTTGTCCCATGATAAATTGCAGCACATTAAATTTTAAACTTAATAAAATATTTAATTGGATTTCAATTATTGCAATTAGGCGATGGCAGTTGTTTTAAATATATTCAATTAAATTTTTTTCATTAAAATTTTCTATGAATTATATATGTTTGTCATTTGGTTTTCAATTAATAATACCTAATGGAAATATAAATGATGCAAATTATGCAAACGTTTTAATGTCAAAAGATAAATTATATTGGCCAACAATATTTTTCGTTAATTAATTATAAATTACTATTACTATAAACTATATAACTCGTTCACCTATAAACTTTTCTATTTAAACACTCGCTCCTAATTTAAATTCGTGACTAAAAGGGCGTTTATCAAACTTGATACAAATACCTGTAGATGTAATTAATTTTTTTTATTCAATTATTTAATCAAATCCATCATTATGTATTTTAAACAATTTACCATTGTCTATACTTGGTTTTATTTTTGAAATTTATTTATTTTTAAATTTTAATTAAAGTAGGTGCTCAAAATAACAATATTAAATATTTGCTCGACGAACTCTTTTTTTCGGTTAAACACTCCCGTTTGTAGTAAACTGCTTGACTGTACGGTGAAACGAAGTACGTGATCGAATTTAATCCGGAAAACGCTGAGCGTAGATACACAGTAAAAAATTTCTGGTAAAAAACAACACCAAAAGTGGTCTATATAGGTCCACACTAGAAATGGTATATCTAACCACATACAATTTGGTAAATTTTACCCTTTTTAATTGGTTAAAAATCTACACGTACTATTCGTACAGGGTCAGTCCATGTCAACTCAACACACCCATTTTACCACACCACCTCAGATTTTCTTAAAATTTGGTATACTTATACTATGTACTAAGACTAAGAAAAATACCAATTTTTAAATTTTTATCTCAAACCGTTCCCGATATATGGCTAAGTAAAGTTTTTAAAAACTCGCGAAAAAAGTGTGAACGTGTATTTTTTAAATTGCTCTGGAAGCTGTCCTAATTCAGCTAGAAAGCTGGGAGAGGTGTCATTTTGCAGCATTTTAAATGTTCTTTCAAATGACATACGAGCGCCAAGGGTATTAATGAAAAGATTTTGTTCAAAATCCATATATATATTTTGATTCAATTTTTTTTCAAAAAGTACATAATTTAAAATTCTCAAAATATTTGTATAAATACTTAGTAGTGTTTTAAACCATATAGTAAAATATAAATGTGGGGTCTTAATGGGTTCATGTTAAAAAAAATGATTTATTTTTTTCATTGAATTATAACACTGCACTCTTACAATAGTAGGCTCCATGTTGACACCAAAATCACTTTAAACACACCTCATTTATAGTTTTATTTTTAAATAAACTACGAATATATACAGGGTCCGATAAAAGTTTCCTGAATTTTTTTTTAAGCGAGTTTAAAATTTTTCAATAAGGTTTTCGCGGAAATTGTTTGCTAGAGCAGGTTCCTAGAACCATTTCATTTCTGAAAATATTCATTTTATGTTGTTCTGTTTAAAATTTAGTTCAATATGAATCGCCAAAAAAAGCGTATCACAGTAATTGAATTAAAAAAGTCGGGAATGTAGGCAGCCGATATTATTAGGGTTCTTAGAACCCTTATATTTTTGAAAATATTCATTTTATGTTGTTTTGTTTAAAATTTAGTTCAATATGAATCGCCAAAACAAGCGTATCACAGTAATTAAATTACACAAGTCGGGAATGATGACAGCCGATATTATAAAAAAATACAATTGTCAGGCTTAAGCCTGATAAACGTTGAATAATGTCAAAATTAGTTAAAAGTGAAAAACCAGCATCAGAAATATTTTTTTTAACAATGAACCCATTAAGACCCCACATTAATATTTTATTATATGATTCAGAACACTACCAAGTATTTATACAAATATTTTGAGAATTTTAAATTATGTACTTTTTGAAAAAAAATTGAATCAAAATATATATATGGATTTTGAACAAAATCTTTTCATTAATACCCTTGGCAGTCGTATGTCATTTGAAAGAGTATTTAAAATGCTGCAAAATGACACCTCTCCCAGCTTTCTAACTAAATTAGGACAGCTTCCAGCGCAATTTAAAAAATAAACGTTCACACTTTTTTCACGAGTTTTTAAAAACTTTACATAGCCATATATCGGAAACGGTGTGAGATAAAAATTTAAAAATTGGTATTTTTCTTAGTCTTAGTACATAGTACAAGTATACCAAACTTTAGGAAAATCTGAAATGGTGAGTAAAGATTTCTTTTTAAAGTGTGTTGATTTGGCATGGAATGGCTCTACAAAAAACTCGTAACAGTGTAAAAATCATCAAATATAATACACTCTTAGGGGTAAAAGCAACACGCAATATTGGTAAAAGAACTCCATTCAAGAGTAGAAACTGCTCAATTTGGTGTAATTTACTACACATTTTGGTGTTACTTGTAGGTGTTAAAAATGGTTGGTGTTTTAATATTAAACACAGCATGTAATGTAAAATAAAGTATATTTTATATTACTTACAAACTATTAGATATGAATACAAATAGGCTTTGGCATAAAATTAAAAAAAAATGATTAACACTACTTAGGTGTATTCTTATACCCAAGAAGTGTTAATAATTTTTTTTATTTGAATGAAAAGTAGTACTTAATATTTTAAGTTTTTTCCAGTTTGTGCAAAACCATATTTAGCTTATATAGGTAGGTATATAAGTTAAATATGATTTTTCACTAGCTCAAAAAACTTAAAATTTTACTAAATTTCATATTTCACTTATCACAGGTAAAAAAACATGTTATATCACAAACATAAGTTGCATCCACTGTCACATTGCACCACTTTACCCGACCACTGAATTTTAATTTTAAAACCATAGTCTTAAAATAGGTACACTACCATCAACTGCACTCGGAATACTGATCTCTTCCTTGCTGTTAACGAATGGTGATGACTACGTGACTTTTTTTTACCACAATGTGTGTAGCTGTCAACAAATAATAGTGTCAAATGTACACTGCGTCGAGTTTATCTTTAAATTAACACTAGATTGACACGGTGCTGTGTAAAATAAATTTAAATTAACACGAATGAATTTTACCACAATTTAAAATAAACACTTAATATTTTTGACCAATTTTAGTGTATACATTAACACCAAATGATTTTACCACTCCATTTGGTAACTTTACACCGAAATATTTTTTACTGTGTATTAACGGCATCATCAAGATTCCTGCCTGCTTCTCCATAAATCAAAATCATTTCTATTTTTTCTTCCACTGTTAAAAAATCCATTATGAATAACTGCTTAACGAAAGGAGGTATTTTTGTTTGCAAATTAATCTTCGAACTAAATTGATTAAACAATGCTAAACTATAAATAGTTTCTTTATACCTCAATAATAACTATTATTTATAACTAAATACAATTTTTTTATACCTCAATTAGGATTAAATTAATTAATTGACAAAATAATGTTTTTTTACCTTAAATGAAATAATGTATAAAACTTAAACCAAAGGAAACTTAAATATTAGTTAGAAAAACAGATTTAATTTAATAAGATAACTATTACAGAAAGTGAACTTTTAAACATTTTTTCATAGTTTTACAGAACAATGCACAGTTAACGCTTAGTTATGTTACGAAAGGTGGCATACAACATGTATTTTACGGTCGTAAGGAGAATGCCGGTGATTCAGAGTGCGCATAAAAAATGACCCACTAAAAAAAGAAATACTAAATTAGTAGCTTTAAATTTACCAAAACATTAATTTTAGTGCTCGGAGAGACTTCAAGAACGATAGTAAAATCAATTTACGAGCAACGAGTCCCGGAGACTATCAATTACGAAGCAGAGCTCAGCTGCGGACTTTTGTATGTTAATAAAAATACAATACCGAAGAAAAAAACCAAAGAGAATATCGTGATACCTCAAAGTGATTTATCCATCAATTATGGTAATTTAGGAAATAATATTTTAAACGGTCAACCGGTACACCTCTAACAAACTACAGTCTTATACTAATTATTAATTAACTCCCTATACCCTGTCATAAAAATGTCCTAAAATATTATACTAATTTTTATTTAGTTAATTATTTGTCCAAAAATTGTTTTTGTGGTATGGAAACTTTTTCGTTT